TTCAGGAACTGACTGAAAAAGGCACCAGTCTAGGGACCACTCAGAACAAAAGAGGAGACTGGGACTGGCATGTACTCTGTCACCATCCCCACTGCCCCAGCTCAGTGTGAAACAAGTGGGAGAAAACACCTGACTCTTGGCTTTCCCTGGGGAGGGAGAGTTGGAGCCTGAATCCAATTTTCAGTTTTCAGGGGGTTTCCCAGGGGACTGTTTCTCTTGTCCTGAGCACTGAAAGGCTCGATAAACCATAGATGCCTGGAGACTACTGAGAATAAGAGTGTGGCAGCTTGCTGCTGCTGTAGAGGATCTGCAGTCCAACAGAGGCCAATACATCTTGGCGGCCTCTCCTATATAGTGGAAAAGAGAAAAGCAAAGTGTGTCCAACATTCTGCCCTTTTGGGAGGCTGTCTGAGGGACTCGTTTCTATTTTGTCTTGGAGTGCTGATAGAACACAGCATACTGTAGATGCCCGGGGCGGGGGGGGCACTGGGAAAGAGAGAGAGCTGGGTGACCTGACCTACTACTGCTCCAGGACTCATGGTGCAGCATACAGAGGTTGATACAGCTCAGCCAGCCTGTATCAAGAGGCTCAGCCAGGCCGGGCGCGGTGGCTCAAGCCTGTAATCCCAGCACTTTGGGAGGCCGAGACAGGCGGATCACGAGGTCAGGAGATCGAGACCATCCTGGCGAACACAGTGAAACCCCGTCTCTACTAAAAAATACAAAAAAACTAGCCGGGCGAGGTGGCGGGCGCCTGTAGTCTCAGCTACTCGGGAGGCTGAGGCAGGAGAATGGCGTAAACCCGGGAGGCGGAGCTTGCAGTGAGCTGAGATCCGGCCACTGCACTCCAGCCTGGGCGACAGAGCCAGACTCCATCTCAAAAAAAAAAAAAAAAAAAAAAAGAGGCTCAGCCAGCCTCATCCTTGTGGAGGGAACGAGACTGGTGGAGCGTGTGTCAGATGTTCTGGCTTTTAAGGGGCTTATCAGGGAACTGGTTCTATCTCGCCCAACTTAGAGTTTTGACAGAACCTGGAATGCTCTACAGAGAGACCTGGAGGCTGCTGAGAATAAGATAAGGAGCGCTGGATGGCTTGTGGCAGCTCCAGGGAATACGCAGTGCTGCAGGCAGACACCAGAAGGAACAAGAGGTTACAGATTCTGAAAAAAGAGACCAGCAAATCTACTTGAACATTTGCATGCACAGGTCTGGAGGGATGGATCTATGGAAGAGGTCGGGGAGATCCCGGAATCTCTAGCCAAGATGATCAGTAAAGATCTTTCCCTGTATGAAGTCAGTCCCTAAAGACTGGAAGACACAGTTGTTTTTCAAATACATGGATCCCAACACAAAATCACAAGACACATGAAGAAACATGTGAAAATATGGCCCAAAGAGGCAAATGAAATCTCTAGAGACTGATCCCAAGAACTAGTGGTCTATGAATAACCTGAAAAATATTCAAAAGATGTTCAGTGAGCTCAGGAAAATGATGTATGAACAAAATGAGAGTATCCATAAAGAGAGAGTATAAAAAAGAACCAAACAGAAATGTTGGCAGTGAAGAATAAATTGAAAAATTTATTAGAGGGGTTCAACAGCAGATTTGACAAAGCAGAAGAAAAAGTAAACTCAGAGACAGGTTATCTGAAATGATCCAGTCAGTGGATCAAAAAGGAAAAATAATTTAAAAATGATAAACGTCTAAGGAACTTCTGCGACACCAGTAAGTGGACCAATATAAACACTATGGGAATTTAAGAAGAAATAGAAAAAGGGACAGAAAGCTTCTTTAAAAAAATAGTGGCTCAAAATTTCCCAAATCTGGGGAAGAACACAGACATCCAGATTTGAGAATTCCAAAGGACTCCAACTAGAATGAACCCAAAGATATCCACACTGAGTCATTTTAAAATCAAAAAGCAACTTGTCACGAACAAGGGATCCTTCATAAAACAGTGGATTTCATAGCAGAAACCTTGCCAGATGGCCAGAAGGGAGTGAGATAATATATTCACAGTGCAGAAGGAGACAAACTGCCAAGTAAGACATACTATGTCCAGTCAAACTGTCCTTCAAAAATGAAAGAGAAATAAAGACTTTCCTAGGCAAATAAAGCTCAGGGAGTTCATCACCGCTTGATTTATCTTCAAGGGGAGAAAGGGATTCCTCTCACACCAATAATCCTAGCACTTTGGGAGGCTGAGGTGGGAGGACTGCTTGAGCCTAGAAATTTGAGACCAGCCTGAGAAGCATTGTGAGACCCCATTTCTACGAAAAAAAATTTAAAAAAAAATTGCCTGTGGTGCCCGCTACTCAGGAGGATGATGGTTTATAAGAAATCTATTATTGTAGTAGCAAACAGCCCGGCCATTGGGCTAGGGGCAACCATGTTGCCTCTCTGTGATGTGGATTGGGTTAATGAAGAGGCTTGGTTTCAGATACCTTATACCACTCTCAAGCAGAGTCCCCATGGCTCTTCTACCTTATGTTTCCCAGGATAACACGAGAGTGTCAGCAAATGGAACGGTGCTCAGCAGGTGGAGGCACGGGACCAGGGGCCTGGGGTGGGTAGTAAGGGGAAAACGAGTGGCAAAGGCCTGATTTCCCAGGTGCTTTAGCTTGAAACCTTCATCCAGGAAGTTATGCTTTGAATGAGGGAGCTATGTTAAATGAAATAAGTCAGCTACAGAAGGAAAAATACTATGTAATTCCACTTATAGGAGGTATGTAAAGTAGTGAAACTCATAGAAGCAGAAAGGAGAGTGGTGGTTGCCAGGGACTGGGGAGGGGAGAATGGGGGCTGCAGTTCAATGGGTGGAGAGTTTCATTCATGCAGGATGAAAAAGTTCTAGAGATCTGCTGAACAACAATGTGCACACAGTTAACAATACTATCCAGGATAGACATAAACTTGTTAAGAGTGTAATCTTCAACTATGTGTTTTTACCACACACAGACATAAAATTCCGAGGAGGTATAGTTAACTGGTCACATGGAACAGAGACTTTGAAGGGATAGCAGACTAAATAAATGAGGTAAGATGTGCACAGAGTTTATAAGCTATTTACCAAGCTGGAAACAACAGCCTTAATTTAAACTGACTACATGAAATTGCCTTCATTTGTAATTCTTCCAACTATTAAACAAACGATTTGGTCACAAGCTTAGTAAGTCCATTCATGTTATTATTTCAGAGCTGGATTGGCTGGATATTTCGACTTGAACAAAGTAAAAGGATTATGTCCAACAACTTTAAATGTGAAACCATTTGGTTTCCTTCTCTATTTAGGAGACTAAAGAAATGTATTTCCTCCAGTACAAGATGATAAGGGAAAAAATTTACATTAGAAACCATAACAAAGAAAAGTAAAAATGTCAGAGTTACTTTAGAAATGTCTTTAACAAATATTCTCCCATTCTCCCTGAGGTGTGATAGGGGACTCGTTTAATCGAAATTGCTGTTGAATTTGTATCATGTGTTCTCTCGGCATGAAGATATAATGAACTGTTTTGATTCTTATTGAAGTGTGTGTGTATAGTCACGTTTGTCTAGGAGAGATTCTTAGGACAAATTTAAACAAAAGAGATCTTTTAATTTTCTCTTAAATGCTTTAGTGTCTCAATGCATAAATACACTGTTTACTTTTACAGCTGGTCCAGTGTTATTCACTCTTGGCAAATTGTAGACTTACAAAACAAGGCAAATCCCTACCTATTCACCTTCTCAGCAAGGATGACTTCTAATTCAAACAGCACATAATGGGCTCTAGTAAAGGGATTTGCTCATATTCATAGAACTAATGAAAGATATATGACTAAGTATTCAGCTTAAAGGAAGCCAAATGAGTTTAATACAGAAAATATACACATGATGATATTAATCATATATAAACAATGTAAAAGATTCATAAGCAAAATTTTATTTTGCAATCACTAATTCTTGTGATTATGAAGATATAACCTAACCTAGGAAGAAAATAGGCAGCTGTTCTTTTTAGAAATTAATTATTTACTGTACAAGCCCATAGGCCTGCAGGTACAATGAAAGAATGAAGGTAACTTCTTTACACTGTGAATGGGTAAAGAGATCCAGTGAGGTCAATGTTATCTATTTCATCGATGCCAATATTTTTTCAGTTGTGATATTAAGTAAAGGTTCACAGTGCCTATGTGAAAACTTCGGTACAATTATCGTGGCTGCAATAAAACTACAACATACACACATAACCTCCAATAGATCCATTTTAAATGAAGAAAAATAACAATATAGTTCATTTTTAAAAATGCTTCAAAAACATTTTTCTTGATTAAATCTGTGGCCACTTCATTGTTCCTGCATCCCTAAAAGGTTCTTAAAATTAATCAGTGAGGTTTCTTCTGTCTAACTACATGAACTTTGTCGCATGATGTCACACGCTAGCTAACTGCATGAGCAGTGCAGCTGCTGGCATCAACCAAACATAAAAAATATTAAAGTTATTATCAGAAGAGTGGTAGGTAAGGATTTTACTTTGCGAGTTGATGGAACTCCACCAAAGGTGTTCTACATAGAACAGGTACGTTTTCTTTCTTTCTTTTTTTTTTTTTTTTTGAGACGGAGTCGCGCTCTGTCACCCAGGCTGGCGTGCAGCG